CCTTGAGGTGCCCCAAGAAGCTGGACTAGCCATGCAAACTGCAGAATGGTTTGTCTCTCTGGCTTTTCTGACCTCTGCCTTGCAACACAGCTACTATTCACCCCAAGTTTATAAAAAACATGGCAATATCCTGAAGTTCCCAGATCATTCTCTAAGCCACTCAGCGTTCTTGGAAGCAAGCAGCCTCCAAATAGTTCTTATCTTTTTAAAATCACCTGGGTATTCACTTTCTGTTTGTCTCTGTTTTGCCAGTTGTCAGACAAACACATGCTGCTGCTGGGGAGGTTTGAGAGATTTTGAGGAGGGTGGGGAGTAAGCCAGGCTGGCAGGAAAGATTATAGTCTCATAAATCAAGAAGTGAAGTTATGTGGGGTTTTTTTTTTTTTAACCACAATTTTAAAAAAAGTGAATGAGGCATAGAACTTTGAAAAATGAAGGGGCACTCCAGAGTAGCTCCACCATATTTAATAAGACATGATTCCATTTACTTTCCTAAATCTTCCCCCCTTCCCTCCCTTCCTTTTATTTAATGAATAAAATGAGCTAAAAACACTCTATAAAGGTTTCTTTTTTCGTCATTAATATTTCGTGGTAGCTCCCAGGCTCTGCGTTCATCTGATTTGCATTCGGACTTATAAAACAAAGGCATTTTCAGGCAGTCCCCAAACTGAAGATTCCAGCTCAAATCCACAATAATTTGAGAAGAGCAATTTATTTTTTAAAAATTGAGTTGGGGCGCCTGGGTGGCTCAGTCAGTTAAGTGTCTGACTCTTGATTTTGGCTCAGGTCATGATCTCAGGGTCTTGAGATTGAGCCCCTCATGGGGCTCTGTGCTCAGAGGGGAGTCTGCTTGAGATTCTCTCCCTCTTCCTCTGCCCCTCACCCCCACACGTTCTCTCCCTCAAAATAAATAAATAAATAAAAATCTTTAAAAATGGAATTGAACCTGAATGCAATTGAGAGTGAACAAATGAGATATGGCAGAAACCAGCCACTCTCAATCAGTCTAGGAAGTTTTGTCAAAAACTTCGGCTTCCGTCACCTTCCGTGGCCCACTCGCCTTCCCTTGCCAGTAGGAGCCAACACTCAGAAGAAAGCAGATACAGAGTGGACCCAGACAGCCACCAGACAGGCAGTGGACTCAGAGTTCTCAAATTAGAGGAAAGAGGCCATGTTGCTGTGGATCCCACTAAAGAGACGCAGGCCTGCTTTGACCAAAGTCTCAGCTCTTGAGCAGGGAAGCCCAGGCAGGTAGGCACATCAGCAGAGCCCCGGAAGATTCTGTGCCCTGTGAGGAGGACCAGAGAGGGGGGCACAGCACCAGAACTCTGCCATTAGCCTCGCAGGGCTCTCAGCCCCTTGTCACCAGAAGCTGGAGAGGGACACCCACGTCCGCCCTGTGTTTCTTATGGCTCGGGCAGCTGGTAGAAGCCCTGGGGGCACTTCCAAGGCATCTGGGAACACCTGGAACAGGCAGAAGTACATCAGAGGCCTCTCAAAGAAGAGGATTAATCAAATGGGATGACTCGAAAGGCATCTTTTTCGACTGGTAAGAAGAGCTAGACCGGAAAGGATACTTTGAGCCCTTTCGGGAGAAAAATAAGCCCATGTTGTAGCTACAGAAGGCTTGGCACTTCCGGAGACTTGACACCTACTACTGTTCCCACGCAAGTCCCAGCCCCGGGGCCTCACCACCACTGCTGCCAAAGCTTCTCCTGGGCTCTGCAGGCCCAGCCTCCCCCACCCATGCTCTAGATAGCTGACATCTTCACCTTTTAGAAAGGGAAAAGGAAACCAAGCCCCCTCCACAGCTCAGAATTCTCCATCAGCTCTTGATCTTATTTCATAAGTTAAAAAAAATAAAATCCACGGATCAGCAAACTTTTTCTGTAGGGGGCCACTCAGTACTTTAGATTTTGTCTGGCATGGTAACTATTGAGCTGTCACACTGTGGTGGTGGGCCGCGCTTGGGGGAAGCAGACAAGTTGCCTAAGGGAAGGAACAAAGTTAAAGGAGATGGTCCCTCTTGGTGGAAGTAGACACAGACAATGTACAAAGAATGTGTCCGTAAAACTGTATTCGGCCCACAGGCTGTGTGCACCAAGTTCTCAATCAGAGGCTTTGCGCTCGCTCTCCCTTCTCCCTGGAACACTTTCTCCTCAGGTTTTTGCAGAGAGGGCACTGAGTGCTAGGTAACTCAGTAAACAGATTAAAAGTATACTTGGAGACTTAGCAAAAAAAGAGCCCTAACAATGAGAAAATATTGTGGAATGAGTTTGGTTTTAGATATTTCCCCCAAAGTATTCAAGTATTTGTCATTGAGGGTGGGGCGGGGAGGGTAATCAGAACTTTGTTGACCTTCTCTGTACTTATTTTAAGCCTTGGGTGGCTTTTTAAATTTTTAATTACCTGGGGGGGAGGGTGTGGGAAGGAGAGAAGGCACCATCATTTTGGTAAGTTCAAGTCTCAGGGTGGCCTTGCTGGTGGGGTCTTCTTCGGGAGGATTTCTCTGACCAGTGACTCAGTGGTGCCCCTCCACCACGTATCACATTCTGCTGTTGTATTTTCCCATAGCACTTAATCACTACTGGAAATTATTGTTCTTTACTTATGTGTTTCCTTGTTGACTGCCTGTCTCCCTTTTGCATGTAAGCCTCCAGAGCCCAGGAATCCCGTCTGTCTTGTTTACCTCTGTATCCTGCACCTAGTAGAGTGTGTGGCACCGGGAAAGCATGCAAGAAAATATTTGTTGACTGACTGACTGACTGACTGATTCAATGAATGAAGGCCTGACTGAAGGATGTAAAAACGCAAGAGCTAAAAGTGTTTTAAGAATGAGATCTGATCCTACGTGAAATTCTCTGCTTGACCTTCATGTAGCCTTAAAAGAGACTCAGAACCCAGGCTGGATAACTGAATCGGCTTTAGCTAATGGGCTTAAATCAACTCAGGCAAAACCAGATTTGTCCACAAGAGAATTTGGACCAAATCACATTTTGGTAGGACGTTTTGCAACTACATCATGGGAAGATTTTTCAGCTCTTTATTTATCTTATGTCAATTTGGTCTGTTTTTCCAAAATGTTTACTTTTTTCTTTCTACTTTTTAGATTTTAATTAACTTTTGGCTTATTCTCTACAGAAACATAACATAAACATCCAACATTGAAAAAAAATTATCGAGAAAATCAGATTTCCTTGAGTTCTTTGCATGAATTTAGAAACACACTTAAATATGCAGCACAGTCATTCAGTGGATAGCAAATATCTGATTTGTATCAGGCACTGTGCTGGGCATTGGAAAATACCATGGTGAACACGTCCCTGCCTTCAGACTTCTGGGAGAAATAGATGTAAAACAGACACCCCACCCCCCCCAAAAAAGTCAAGTTTTGATAGGCACTATGGAAGGAAATAAACAAGGAGCCGAGATGGGCAAAGCCCATGTTCATTAGGGTGATAAAGAAGGCCTTTTTGAAGAAATAAAATGCAGGAAATGATCTGGAGCTACCTTTTGTAGGGTAGGGAAATGTATTCCAGAGAGAAGATACCACATATGCAGTTATCACTGAGGTAGGAAAGAGCTCAGCTGGTTTCAAGAACTGAAAGAAAAGGTGACTGGATCACAGTGATTGAAGAAGACAAGGCACAAGGACGACCTGGTCACCGGGGCCTCACAGGCCATGGTAATGAGTTTGGGCTTTATTTTAAAGGCAGGGTTTCACAAAGGGGAATGATGCCGTCTTACTTATGCCTACAGCAGGTTTCTCTAGGTTCTGTGTAGAGAATGGATTGCTGTAGGGCAAGTGTAAAAGAAGGGAGACCTGAGAGAAGCCTGTAGTAATGCACGTGGGAAGGGATGGTGGTCTGGACTGGTCTTGGCAATGGAGATAGGGAGCAGACGAGAGGCTGGAGTTACAGTTTGGCAGTAGGAGGAGTTATCGGGGAATTTGATGCAGGAACTGAGAATACGTAGGCATATCAGTCAGTCTCCAACCGAGAAAACAGACAGCATTCTAGGTATTTCAAACAGAGGGAGTTCCACTTAAGGAATCGGTTACAAGTGTTGGAAAGGTTAGAGGAGCGATAAGGGGGAAGGTGAGGTAACCTGGAGGTAAGCATCTGCAGGAAGTCAGGACCAGTCCTAATGCTGGAGGGGAGAAAGGGAGGCGGTTATGGCCTCTGACACTGCAAAGCTGCTCATGCTGTTGGAACTGGCCCCTGCCTCAGCCACCGATACTGTTGCTGGAGCCCCTAGCTGCTGGTCACGGCCACAGCCACTGCCAGAAGCTTTTGACAAAGGGGAGGGTGTCTCTCCATCATTTCCTCCCGTTTCCTACCAGTGCTTCCCACTGGCAGCATCTAACTTGGCCAGCTGGCAAGGGGGTCTGGGAAATGCAATTCACAGGATTCCAGCCACCGCCGACAGAGCGCTGCACAGAATGGCGGGAATGGTCCTTGGCACTGACAAGCCAACGACCAGCACATGAAAGAATTAAAGATTTGTTTTATGTAGGAAAAACATTCCTTTATCCTTTACAAATACGTATCTCGTTGTTTTTACAAAAACAATATGTGCCCATTAAAGTTAGAAACTACAGACAAATAATAGAATATAACAAAACTTTCATATTCCCACTTACTCCGAAATAATTATTAATAACATCTTGGTCTCAGTCTCTTTTTCTCTCTCAAAAAGCAACTCTTACTCTACATTCAGTTTTGTAACCTACCGCACTAAATTTATGCAATAAACATTTGCTGGACACTTACTTTGTTCCAACTAGCTTCCAGTGCTGAATATTTATGTTTTACTCACATTTTCCTATTATAAATATAAAAAAGGAATTATTGCCTGAAAATAAATTTGCAATTTAAGAAAACAGCTCATGAAGCATACAGTTGTAACCTCCAATGTGACTACTATGAGATTATTCACTTAGGTAGAAAGAGAAAACTAATTACTTTTAATAGAAGGTGAAATGCCAGGTCTTTTCTTACCTTTTTATTTCCTCTGTTGGGGAGGAGACAACAGAATTTCAGAGCTGGTAAATGCAGTCCGGAGAGGGAGAGGCACGTGGCCGTGACTACCCCAGAACTGTCCTGCTACCCATCTGTCCAGTCTCCTCGAGTGTACAGAGGGGTGACACTGAGCCAGGGTGTCTTTAAGAGCAGATGCCATTTATGACGGCTACAGGACAACAATTTCTCTGGTCACCTGTTAGAATGCTTCTCAGTACTAGTTGCTGAAAACCATGACTTGAATTGGTTTTTAAAATGAGGAAATGGGGGCGCCTGGGTGGCTCAGTTGTTAAGCATCTGCCTTCGGCTCAGGTCATGGTCCCAGGGTCCTGGGGTCGAGCCCCGCCTTGGGCTCCCTGCTCCACGGGAAGCCTGCTTCTCCTTCTCCCCCTGCTTGTGTTCCCTCTCTCGCTGTCTCTGTCAAATAAATGAATAAAACTTTAAAAATAAATAAATAAAATGAGGAAATGTGTTATCTCACATTCTCACATAACTAGAAGTCCAGAGGTAGGACAGATTCCCGGAACAGTAAGATAAGCCACTCAACTGATGTCACCAAGGTCCCAAGTTCTTTCAACACTAGGTTCCGCCTTCCTCGGTGTTGGCTTCATCCTGACACTGGCACCCTTCACGGTGACTAGATGGCTGCCAGAGGCCACAGAGCTGCCTGTTGCTTTTCTCCACATTCAGCATAAAGAAAAACAGAGAGACATCTCCCTCCAATAGAAATTCTTTTCGGTTCAAGCCGACCAGTGGTTCTCAATACTGCTACACATTAAAGTCATCAGGAGTGCTTTATTATTTATTTATTGCTATTATTTCATTTTAATTGATTGATTTGTTTAGTAATTGGTGATGGTGATGATGATGTATTATTTATATACTTACCATTTTACTTTTTACACTGCTGGATACCTACGCCTTATTGCTGGAAATAATGACTTATTAGTCTGGGGTGGCCCCCGGCTGGAGGTAATTTTTAGGAGCTCCCAGTGAGTCCGATGTACAGCCAGGGCGGAGAACCACGGGATTAGGCTGGTTAGGGTCACCTGCCCACCCCTTGCACTGACAGTTGCCAGGGTGACGTCAGGAACAGATTGGCTTAGAAAAGTGAATCTCAAAGTGTGACCCAGACCAGCAGAAGCAACTACTGGGAACCTGCCGGAGATACAAATTATTGAGCCCCACCCAGACCTACTGAATCGGAAACTCTGCGGGTGGGGCCCGGTAATCTGGGCTTTAGCAAGCTTGACAGGTGATTCTGATGGATGCTGATGTTTGAGACACACGGCCTTAGACCAATCAGGCTTCTTCTCTGGAGCTAGGGAGGAGATAAATATGTGAACAAAATCAAGGTCTGTTAGAACAGTGAGCCCCAGGTCACGCGAGCCTTCAGTACTCCCTCCTTTCATAGTCAGGAAGCGGGAGAAGAGGGGAGGGATTAGTGACCTGAACCCCAGAGACCCCTGGTTGTACAGAGAGGGTCTCTCAATGGCGCCACCAAGGCTCAGCCACCACAATGGGCTGGTAGGATGGGAAGAAGGTAATTTTTTAACGTTAGGTAACTAGCCTGTTGCCTTGTTCATGACATGAATTCCTGGTATCTGTTCCTGCAGTTTCTGCAGGAGCCCAAGGGCTGAGAAGACTGTCTTGGTCTATACTTTCCTGAAAACACTGTGAACTCATTTCAACCACTGTGCAGTCTCAACAGGATCCTGGAAAAGGAAAAGGCCATTAGGTAAAAACACAGGAAGTCTGAATACAGTAAGGACTTTTGTTAAAAATAACGTATCAATATTGGTTCATAAATTGTGACAATATACCATATCCGTACTAAATCAGGTATTAATAGGGGAAACTGGGCATGGGGCACATGGGAACTCTCTATAAATCTTCACAACTTTCCTGTAAATCTAAAACTACTCTAAAATACAAAGGTTTTTAAAAACACAATACATTAAGGGATACCTGGGTGGCTCAGTCGGTTAAGCGTCTGCCTTTGCCTTGGGTCACGATCTCGGGGTCCTGGGATCGAGTCCTGCATCGGGCTCCTTGCTCAGTGGGGAGCCTGCTTCTCCCTCTGCCTGCCGCTCCCCCTGCTTGTGCCCTCTCTCTTTCTCTTTGACAAATAAATACAAATCTTAAAAAAAATATGATACATTAAGCTGTGAAATTCTAATGGATGAAAACACTTTTGGAAAAGGCTTTATGAAATTAAGCATAAAACAGTTTTTAAAATACTCCATATTAATATAAACTTGACCCTGCTGTATTTTTATGATCAGTGTCATGTTTTTAGCCAGAGCAAATGCTTTTAAAACATTTTCAGCTTAAGCAGGAGTTGAATTGGAAAATATTAATGAAGATTCCTGATATTTCACACTTCCCAGAATCTGCGCATGGCCTGAATTATCAAAGAGCAAATGAGAGAGGCTTAAGCTTGTCCATATGTTAGAACAATTAACCCATATAGGGACACCTGGGTGGCTCTGTCCGTTAAGCCTCCACTTGATTTCGGCTCAGGTCATAATCTCAGGGTTGTGAGATCGAGCCTGTGTCGGGCTCTGCAATGAGTGCGGAGCCTGCTTAAGATTCTTTCTCCCTCAGCCCCTACTCCCCTCTAAAACAAACAAACAAACAAACAAACAAACCCAAACAAACAAAACAAAACAAAAAGCACATATAGAAAGTCACTTTCTTTGCCATCCCCCTAGACCTGGAAAGGAGTAGGATGGCTTGACTCACAGGGAATGGGACATAATCATATGCATCTTCCTTTAAATCCAATTCATAGCAGGGAGCTGGAGCATAAATTCCCTTCAGGCATTCTCCTCTTGTTTCACCAGCTCCATTTAAATTAAATGCACTTTGTGTGTCCTGAAGGGTAAGCCACGCAATCCAGTGGACTGAGGTGTGGCTTATTACCAAGGACTACTTGACTACTGTCAAGAGACTGTATATCACTGGATTTATGTGGGATTCCTGGAAACAATGGGCCATAACTGGTGGAATGGGGCAAGGAGCAAATCTTAATTTGTAGTTTGGAGGTTTGAAAGATTACTCTTAATGCAGTTGACTAAATAATTTATGGTAAGTTTTGCTTATCTCCCTTCTGCACCAAATATCAGTAAGGGAACCAATAATTAAAATTGTCATTGCAGAGTGTTATAATTAAGAGTTATATATAAAAAAAAGAGGACTTAAGGGTGAAAACATTGCTATGCCAAGCAAGTGGCTCGAAGTGATTTTTCCCCTGATTTTACTGCATTGGAATCTCTCCGATTTTGTCCAGTGTGGTTATACTCTCTTACTTTGTGACTTGGACAAGTTCCTTAGGCTCTCTATGTCTCATTTTCATCATCTTCACAATATGGAATAATAATAATAGTACCTATTTCTTGATGGTGTCATCAGAATTAAGGGAAGTAATATTTGTAACAATTTAACACAGTGCCTGGAATGTGGTAAATGTTACAAATAAGATAGCCCTTGCCCACATTGAAGTCATTCAATGTAAGGACACACAACCCCTTGATGTGTCATGGCAAAAACACAAGGAAGAATATTCGGGTAGCAGCTAGGAGAGAGGGAACCTCAGGCACAGTAGGACACTGAAAGGGCAGAAGAAACGTAGACAGCGTTCATCAGAGATAAAAAAAAAAAAAAAAGGAGGACGCCTGGGTGGGTCAGTTAGGTGTCCGACTCTTGATTAAGTCATGATCTCAGGGTTGTGAGATTGAGCCCCATGTCGAGCTCCACACCGGGTGTAAAGCCTATTTAAATTTCTCTCCCTTCCTCTCTCTCTGCCCCGCCCCACTGCCTCTGTCTCCCTCTCTAAAAAAAAAGAAAAAACAAAAAGAAATAAAAAAGGATGTGATGGAACTCTCCCACTCTTCCATATTGTTGGTGGGAATGTAAAATGGTTACAGGTGCTGTGGAAAATAGTTTGGTGGTTCCTCAGAAAGTTAAACATAGGATTACCACATGACCCAGCAATTTCACTCCTGGATATATACCCCAAAGAACTGAAAGCAGGTACTCAAATACTTACATTTGTATGCTTACAACAGCATTACTCAAAATAACCCAAAGGTGGAAACAACCCAAATGTCCACTAGCTTATGGATAAACACAAGTGTTATATCCGTACAGTGGAGTATCATTCAGCCATAAAAAGGAATAAAGTACTGATACATGGTACAACATGGATGAACCTGGAAAACACGCCAAGTGAAAGAAGTCAGTCACAAAAGGTCCCATATCCTGTGGTTCCACTTGTGGGGACTATCCAGATTGAAAGCAGACTGGTGGTGGTCAGGGGCTGGGAGGAGGTGGGAATTGGGAGGGTAACTCCTTAGCGTGTACAGGGTTTTCATTCGGAGTGATGCAAATGTTTCGGCACTAGACAGAGGCCGTGGCTGCCCAACATACGAATATACTAAGTGCCACTGAATTGTTCCCTTTAAACAAGTGAATTTTGTGTTTTGTCACTTTTACCTCATTAAAAAAAAAAACAACCAAATACATAAGAGGATGAGAGGGAGCGCTCTCTTTGTTCTAGTTGAGAAGACAAGAGGCATTCTAGGTTTCCTCTCTCACTTACCAGAGGCTCCTTACTTAAGAGCTGATGTCCAACCTCTTGGGGCCTTGGTTGTCTCATCTGTGGGAAAATGAAGTTGGACTGAGTGGCCACCAGGATCCCTTTCAGTTCACATCCGAAGGCAAAGAAATTCAACATGCTTCTTTCTCCCTGACTCAACCACATGCTTGAAAATAACGGCATCCATACCGCACATGTACCCTGGAAGATAAGATTATTGTAATTAAATGACATGGACATTAATTTGTTTTAGTTATGGATATGAAAAGCCTCTTAATATTATTCTAATGCCACAAATCAATGGGTAAATAACGAAAACACATGTACTTTAACACTCAGCTTGGGGTTTGCCAGTCTGAGGCTCAGCCTCTGAGTCTGCACGCGGCTCCAGCCAGTCTGCTCCCCTCTGTGTAATCACACACTGTGTTTTTTGCCAGGCATAGTATCTCGGGCCCCTTTGCCAAGTGCGGTGCTGGCAGCCCCAAGTGGATCGGGGTTGGTGGGGGGAGGCTTGATTAATAGGCGCCCTTGCTGAGCAGGAAGGGTGACAAGGGATTGAACACCCTCCTAAACTGCCCACATTGTGCAACCAAATCATCTAGAACCGTTGAAGGCTGTCAGTCACTAGAACTTGTT